GAAATGAATGGCAACCTGTTACCAAGTGAGCAGATTGATTGCTTCCGGGATTTTGAACAGAAAAAACCTGGCTTATGTATGCTTATTCCGAGGAAGGTGATGAAAACAGCAACTAAAAGCTATCTAAAGCTCTCATTTTTGTTTTGCTACCAACTTATATTCAACTGATGGAAACCCTATGAATGAGAGGGACCTAAATACTTTAAACATACCACTATTTTGATAAGAGACTGCCAATGCATTCCAGGCACTCTAGGTTGCATTTCAGATGAAAGAATTGGCAAAACCATATCTGAATAACATTCCCTGCTTAAGAAACCCTTATGAAATTAACGAGGTGGCCTTAAGTCAAAAGCTGACTTGAAGGCACATGTACATGCATGAATAATAGAATTTCAAAATAATTTATATCTGCTTTGAGGTAAACCCATGTCAAAAGGAACTATTTCCCTTCTTCAGAAGGAAGGTGTGTGGCAATGAATCAGTACTAGCAAAACAAAGCATTTTTAAATAAAAGAAACAATGAAGCAGGAGCAAAATTCCTGTGGTCCATCCCAATTCCTACTGAAATGTGTTTCTTGCTATATTTGCAGCAGCTCACTTGTAGTTTTTATAAAAGGATCTGTGCAGCCACATCACCTTTTAATCCCGAATGTATTTCCAATGCTAAGAAAAAAGGATGGAGGAGGCATTGGAAATGAGTTTGGGTGAAGTAAAATGTCTGAAACACCAGGGAAATGCAATGAATGAGCAAAGTGGTAGCATTATGAAATTCTTGTTTAGAGCCACTCTCTGTCATGTCAAAAATAATTTCAACTGTCATAATTATTTCCTATAAACTTTTAAAAAATAATTCCTAAAGTATCTAGTGCCTCCTGTGAGTTTTCCAGGCTGTGTGGCCATGTTCAAGAAGCATTTTCTCCTGACATTTCACCCACATCTATGGCAGGCATCCTCAGAGGTTGTGAGGTTTGTTGGAAACTAGGCAAGTGGGGTTATGTATCTGTGGAATGTCCAGGGTGGGAGAAAGAATGCTTGTCTGTTTGAGGTATGTGTGAATGTTGCAATTGATCACGTTGATTAGAATTTAATAGCCTTGCAGCTTCAAAGCTTGGCTGCTTCCTGCCTGGGGGAATCCTTTGTCAGGAGATGATTAGCTGGCCCTGATTGTTTCTTATCTGGAATTCCCCTGTTTTTGAGTGTTGTTCTTTATTTAATGTCCCGATTTTAGAGTTTTTAAAACACTAGTTTCCCATTCCCATTGAAAGTCAATTTTTACTCAATCTTACTTCAAGTGTTTAAAACACAGCTGCTGGAAAAGTCAAATTTGTTGTCAAGGCAGACAGGATCAGTGAGATCTATGACTGAAAACAGTGTTTCTCAAACTCTGCTTCTCCAGGTGTTTTGGACTTCAGTTCCCAGAAATTAGGAATGGTTGTTAGGAATGGTGGGAGCTAAAGTTCAAAACACCTGGAGGAGCAGAGTTGGAGAAACACTGACTTAAAGAAAAAACTAAATATTTTGATCAAGGCAGCTACAGAAGAAGCAGGCTCACTGGTGGCTAACCACCACCAGTGAACATGCTGGTCATAATGACCTCTTCTTCAAGCTACTATTAATTGGACAGAACAAAAAATAAGGACACAGTACCTGTAGTTTTTATGCTATGGGAGTAATAACAGCTTCAGAAAAGCTTGATTCCTAGGCTCTGTTTAACAATGCCCTTGGTTCAGTCTAATCATCATCATCATCAGAAATAGTATAGTTGCAAAGTAGACGTAGCATAGATTATACAGAAAATGTTGCATGTTGTTTTGGAATGCACTGATTTTTTTTTTTGTAGTATCCTCGCCTTTGTAGAGTGGTCTTTATGGTTACAAGACACACTCTGCTGACATTTAATAAGCATAATTTGGGGGAAAACTTACTGTGCAAAGCAAGTCATTACAATGTTTCCCTCTATGATAGAATGTCAAAGGTGCCTAATTACTTTGACACCTTTTCTGAAGTTCTTTGACAAACTCCTGTCATTTCCATTATCTTTGGCATTATTCTCCAATATATAACAGCAGACCAGGATGTACTAACTTAGAAATATTTACTTAGAGTTCTGTGTTGTCATCTGCGCCCTCTATCTGAACATCCTCCATTACCTTACTCATGTACATCTTTGTGGTTTTCCAGCTTCTGTCCTTTGGAATCTTGCCATTTGGGGACAAAAGGACAAGAACAGCCGCAGTTACATTTGTTACAATTGCAGGCGGATTAGGAAAAGTTCTTAGCTCAGTCAGATTTAGCTGAAAGAGACACAGAAAAACATAAAGGTGTTAGAAATCCAATAGGACTGTATTTATCTATTCAGACAGTCCCAGAGTTACGAATAAGATAGATTCTGTAGGTTTGATCATAAATTGATTTTGTATGTAAATCAGAACAGGTACATTTTTAAGTGTCACTCCAGCCATTTTGTTTGTGTGTTTTGGATAGTATAGGGAAAGGTGTTTGTTTTGCTGTCTGTGCCACTGTTCAGAACATTTCACCTCACTTCCTCTCTCTGTGAGAATTGGATTTTGAAAGTTTTGGGTTGTTGTACAAACAAAGATTGGTGAGAAAGCTTCAGTGGAGACACCTTTTCCCCAGGAAAACTCTTCTAGGAGTGAATTTCCCTTTCTAGGGGTAACTTCCTCTCACTTTCTGTTATCTCCCCCCTGTTTGTAATTAGAAGTCATGTGTAAGTTGGATGTTTGTAACCCAGGAACAGCCTGTATACATAAAAGTGAAAATACATATGTATGTATGTTTGTGCATGCATGTTCCAGGATTGCTCCTAGGTGGTTGATGGATCTGGACCACTAACCCATCATAACCAACTTAAAAGACTGGTAGAAGAGAGGACTCAGCAAACACGAATTCATTAACTTTCTGAATGGGCAGCCTGAGGGCAGAAAAATGTCAAATTAACAATTTGTAAGCCACTTGGGGAGCTTTTTTGGCTGAAGGGAGAAAGGGAGATGTTCTGGATAGATAGATAGATAGATAGATAGATAGATAGATAGATAGACAGATAGATAGATAGATAGCCCCCAAAATGGATAGAGAACATTCTTTTCCTGCTAAGGAATCAGCTTCAATGCTACGTGTACTGCAATCATGGGGGCTTTAGGTCAGCTTGATCTCCAGCTTCTTCTTCAGAACTTGATCCATTCTTTAGATCTAGGTTCAGTTCCAGCCCTAGTACCAACATTAGCTAGTTCCAAGGCAGGAAAAATGTCTAATTTCTCATTAGCAGCTGATTCAAAGTAAGATTTTTCTTTGACCAAAGGTGAGAATATCTACTTTTTCAGTGCTGGGTAGAAAGCATTTCCCTGCTAGGGGCTGAATGTCTCATAAAGAAAAAAAATCAAAGAGAACATAGATGAGAAATAGTACCTCTTCTACATGCATCGGCTATACGTAGTTGGGAAGAATGTACTATATAAATGAGTTTGTGAGGAGTTATAATTTAATAAGTATACATTTAAATAGCAGGAGTTTAGTAAGAACGGGGGGGGGGGGGGGTAGGTACTTGCCGTGAAATGCCTTTCTGTGAGTTTAGGCTCCGTATAATATTTTCAGAAAGCTGGTGGCCATTTGAAAGACATGGCCACCATGTCTTTCAAATGGCCAGAACCAGTAAATCCACTAAAACAAATACAAGAAAAAAAACTGATCTGAATCCAATTCTTAGCTTCAGCTAGAGCAAATTTTCTGAATCAATGAAAGTTTGGTAAGTTAACACTTGCTTAAATTCTATTGATGCAGTTGACCAGCTTGAAAGGCTCGGTTTGGATCTAGTGATTTTGATAGGTAAATTTAACCCAGAAAAACCATGTGTTTTAGGAGATTTTGAAAGACTAAGTGTTAGAGATGTGCTCTGGAATTTACTGGATCCTGAATTAAGCTGGGATAACTGCTAAAGAGTTTGAAATCTTGATTTAAATGAGTCTCCCCTGAAACAGACTGATGAACACTCCTATAGATTTGTTAGTCTTTTGTGTTTGGAGGACACAAAGACACAGAAAGCATGTCTCAAAAATACTGTATTTTGATGCAAAATTTGGATCCATACCCAAAACAAACTGAGTGGTTTACTAAATGGCCAAACTGGAATCTGTATGAAATCCGTTGCTCTGTGCACACCCCTAATACTCACTAGAATGATAAAGAAGCAACACCTATGAGGTAATATAAATGTAATGTATTATAGTTCCTTCTATGAACTGGCATGAACTCTAAGATCTTCCAGGGAGGCCCTCCTTTCGCTCCCACCACCGTCACAAGTACGGTTGGTGGGGATGAGAGGGCCTTCTCAGTGGTGGCCTCCCGCCTCTGGAATGTCCTTCCAAGGGAAATAAGACAGGCCACATCCTTCCCCTCTTTTCGTAAGAGCTTGAAGACCTGGTGGTTTCAACAAGCCTTTGAGAATGACCAGTTCTAGCACAGCCCCAAATATTGTTGGATATGGCCTAATACTTCCTACCTATTACCCCGGTCATACCTCTAATAGGCCCTGGAAATGAGCAGCCACAGACCCATCCCTGCTATTGCTGTTAGCCTGTTATAGCACTGTACTTAATTCCCAGTTCCCTCATATTTTGAGTTTGCACTAGCCTTGGCCCGGCCTTTTAATTGCTCTGAACTGGCAGGATTATTTTTATATATGTGTGTGTGTAATTGTGATAATTTTATACTTAAGTTGTTTTGTTACATTTGTTATGCTGTTTACTCTGTATGTTTTGGTGATGTTGCTTGGAAACCACCCTTAGTCCCCCTCAGGGAGATAGAGCAGTATATAAAGATTATTATTATTATTATTATTATTATTATTATATGTTCATAAACTCAAAAGATGCTATCTTGTTAAATATGTAAATAATTAGGCAAATTTACCCTGTTTAGAGTGTTCAAGGCAGCATTTGCTGCATTAAGTGCTGGCTCAGCTTTGGCAAGGTCATTTTCAGATTCTTGCTGCTGCTTGGTTACTTCTGCTTGAATAGCTGCTACCTAGAAAGTAGAACACAATTACTGTTATGCCTCTTATGTCTTGCAAATGGACACTGAATAAATATATATGGAGTATTTGTCATATATATGTGTGTTTATGTATGAGTGTGTGTGACAAAAACTCAATTCCACACAAAGCAAAAGCTACAAATGACACCACATCCTTTTTGAAGCTTTCATAAGTGCTCTTATCAGTAAAAGAGCCAAAGAATGCAGATGTGATACTGAAGATGGGGAAGGAGAGTCAAATTGTATGGAAGGAAGCAGGTGGCACAAGAAAACAAACATTCATCTAAGAAGCATATATGAAGGGGGACTTCAAGGGAATATGTAGAAAGTACAAAGTAGGAATCTTCCAAAACATGTTACTTGTTAGATTAATACATTTACAATAGTAGGACAAATTTGTTCCTATTCAATCCAGGTCAGGCATTAGCAAAACTTATTTCATGGCACTATAGTTCTGTCTTCAACATAAACTGATATCATCAGATGAGGAATGTTATTAATGGATGCATTTAAGGATCCTGTTTATGTTCTATGTATCTTATCATTCTATATTCAAAGAGCAAAATTTTGAATTGCCTTCAAGTACCACAAAAATCACTTCTGGTGTGAGAGAATTGGCCGTCTGCAAGGACGTTGCCCAGGGGACGCCCGGATGATTTGATGTTTTTATCATCCTTGTGGGAGGCTTCACTCATGTCCCCGCATGAGGAGCTGGAGCTGATAGAGGGAGCTCATCCGCCTCTCCCCGGATTCGAACCTGCAACCTGTCTTCAGTCCTGCCGGCACAGGGGTTTAACCCACTGCGCCACCGGGGCTCCAGAAGTGACTTGCAGTTTCTCAAGTCGCTCCTGACACGACAAAAACATAAATAAAAAAATCTTGGAATTTGCCACTTGTACATTGTCCAACCGAGACCACAGTCTTGGCTTTCCCAACAAAAATAGTGTTTGCAAATTTTAGTGTTTATTGAGAATGTTTGCAAAGGGATCGTGTAGCACCTATCAAGAGTGTGTTAGGGCATGATTAATTACTTAAAATTAAAAGCTTGCCTTTTTAAAGACAAAACTGAAGGGATGTGATTCAAATCATTGCGTGTGGCAGAAATGAGCAAGGTGTTGTCTTCCAGATGTGATGCCTCTACATATTCTATAACCACACAAAACTGACTATGCTACCTAGGGCTAATGGGAGCTGCAGGCCAACAACAGTTTCAGGCAAGAACAATGTCTCACAATATATTCTTCCAGATAGAGCTGTTTTTTGAACTGCAATCTTTTATGTCTTCTGAAATGTTGTTGCAAAAGATCACGGTGATTGAGAATATAGTGTAGGGGATTGAATTGTTAAGACTCCTCTCCCCAAAGTGTGAAAATCAAAGTCAACGGCTGGCAACATGTTCAGTATTTATGTTGCAAACTTTACTGATGGCAAAGTAATTATTTCAATTGTTTACTAGCTTTGCATGTTCACATTGACTAAAAGTATTTCCCAAACCCTACCTTTCAAGTCTTACAGCCCATTCTCCATCCCGCTAGCCATTTTTATGGTGCTGGAGAGCTCAGTAGTAAGTACTGATGTGTCCACTCCTCTCCTGATCGTGAAGCAGGCTGAGACAGGCATCTGTGACAGGATCTCGACAGGCATTGAGCTTCAGCTTCTTGTCTCAGCACTGCCCACACCTGGGAAAGGACTGAGCATGTCATTATTCACCATCTTGCTCTGCAGCACATCAGAAATGGCCGTGTTTTGGGTTGTGGCATCAAAGGTAGCATTGGAAGGTAGCATCAGGTGGTGTCATAACTGAATCCATAGGTATATGTCCTGAGGCAGTATCTCATTCAAAATATTTCTTACAATGTGGGGATCAATCCATTTTATTAACAGTGTAGTCTTATGAGTGTTTATTCAGACATGGATCTCATGGGCCTTGACTCCCTAGTAAATGCCCCCCCCTCTCTCTCTCTCATACACACACACACGCACACACACGCACAGTATTTATGTGTATACCCTCTGCTCTTCCTCATCAGCTGTGGCTTTTTCTTGACTTAGTTTTTCTGTCTGCTGCCTGATCTTGTCAATAAGAGTCTCAGTGTCTTTGTTTCGCTGATGAAGTTCTGTTTCTTGAATGGCAAGCTTAGACTTCAAATCTTCTACCTATAATGCAACAGGAATAATCTTGTAATTAAGTTTTAACAAGATTTAAATGATATTCAAAACAACCAGTTAAAAGGAGTCATTGCCTTGGGCTTTGTTGTACACTTGTATAATTATTTTCAGTCCTCTAGAGGATGCATAATTACATTTCTGTATTTATAAAAAGATTACCTTGAAGGCACCAATATGATTTTACACTCTATTGATTAGCATATTAACGTGAGGTCAAAATGTGTGGGTCTAATAAAGAAATGTTGTCTACAATTTCCAAGCAATCCAAAATAGTTTGTGTCAGTGCTTCTCTGGATTTCATTGTTTGTGGGGGGGGGGGGGGGGGTCTATAATCTGTGAATTAAAGAAGGACAAGATTATGGGTGCTGTAAACAAAGGAAACATGAACATAATGAGGTAGCAACATGTTTCTTCGTTGTCTGGAGATCTAATTCTTGATTCTTTGTGGTTTCCGTTTGCTTAAAATTGCAATATTGATCTGAAGTCCATGAAATAAATGGCTCAGCACTTCTAGGCAGCTTGATCCAGTGTCTGCCTTCTTCTTGAAGCAAATCACCACCCAATTTTCAGGGGTTTTCCTCCCAGGCATCAAACAAAGTACATCAAAATGCTGACCTGATTTTAGTGGAAAACCTCAAATACACTGCACACCCTGAGCCAACTGAGGAGCTAGGTGGTGGCTACATTGCAAAACTCTGAATCGGTCCAGAGGTGGATGGTGAAGCTCTGTCCTCCCAGCATCCTGGCAGTATCCTACAATGGAGCCCTGAGAACATGGGAAGCTTCCCGTGTTCTCATAGGACAAGCTGGGGAAATGCGCGGGGAAGCTGGGTGGCTACGCTTCCCACTGTGGGATGGGGGGGGGGGCGATGTGGGGCAAGGAGCAATGGTTTCCTTCGCTGCCTGTTGGATTTGTCCCACTGCCCCATGGATGCCCCTACTTTTCCCCTACTTGAGGGCCTCCATCTGATGAGGTCCTTAGGGCCAGAAAAGACACTGCTGATCCAGAGTGCGAGCTCGGAATCAGAATTGCTGGAGTCAACACTGCAAATCAGCCTACTAGTCGTGCAACTTCCATGGAGCTATCCCCCCCCCCCCCGGGTAAATGTGAAGTGAAGATGTACCATCAGACTGTAGCCTGAAAACACATATATAGCTGAAATGCAGCTGAACCAGAAAAAGTTCTTTGAATCCAGTAAGCCAGCTGAAGTTATACTGAATCCAAACCACTTCAAGTTCAGGAATATTGGAAGTTACTTAGAACCACCCTGGGTGTGGTCTAGCTTTTTGCTGATGTAGTATCTGAGTCCTTGGGCTGAGGGAGATCTTATGTAGCACAACATGGCCTCTCATTCTTTCATTCCTTCATTCATTCCTTTGGTGGTGGTGGTGGTGGGCTCTTCTGTCAATTAAAGAGTCAGCAGAGCAGTTGTTTCAGCTCTAACACAACCCTCCCAGGTACATACATATCAGACAGATTGCAGACAGTCATACTTATTGCCGGAGGGAGGGTTCAGGACAATTAATATTTTAATATTTCTTAATGCTTGATATTTAGTACGCTTCAAATTAAAAAATTCTGAAGAAGCTCAATTGTATAAGAGTTTTGATGGTCCAATTTTGCCAGATCCTTTCAGAGTGGGAGACTCATCCCCCTAACCTAGTGTAAGGAAGATTCAGACCCACCACCTGCCCCATTTTGAGGTCCAGGATAAGACAGACAGATGTGAGCAAGCAGAAAAGTTTAGACCCATACTCTGATGGCACTCTTGACCTTCCTTTTAAATTGTCAGAATGATGCTGCAGCTCAGCTATGTACTAAGTATTTTGCATTTTGTTGTTATTTTCCTTTAAATACTCCAAACTAGAACAAGTGACATTCATGGGAGAACTGATCATGTTACAGATCATGAATGATGGCAGTTTAAAGCCTGTCTGCCACATTTGCTTATGAAAAGTTCACCAGTTACAAATCCAATTCCCACAGGTGTCACAGACTGCTAAAGTAAGACACCAAAGAGACGTATACACAATGTGCTATTAACAGAGGAAGTTAGTTTTATGCAAAATGATGAGTGTCAGCTGAGGCTGCTCCAGAGCAGTGCTTGTTAGTTCACAAATGAGCTGATTGTATATTCACAACTACAATTTTCATGAAGTCTCATTCAAGGAAATATTAATGGCCATTATTTAGCTACAGGATAGAGATAACAGAAAACACACAGTTTATGGGTATTTCTTGGAAGAAGATCTCTTGAAATGTCATGTAATGCCACAATAAAAGCAACATTATCATTTAAAGCAACTTTTTCAGTATCAAAAGAACAGACTGTCACATGTTGATGTTACATCAAAGGAACGAAGGCAGAGACATTTAACTCTGAAAGCTAACATAGCTAATAACAACTGTAGGTATATATGTTCCTTCCTCCAATTTTCACATCTTCTTTCTCTGAGTCTAATTCTGCTTTATATATGATATGTTCAGTGTACAATTTAAATAGACAAGGTGATAAAATGCAGCCTTGCCAATGGGAAACAATTCTGTTTCTACATATTCAATCTTGTAACTTTATCAGACTTAGAGAATAAGTGTATTCTCCCGCTTCTCTCCTCTGCCGGCACAGAGTCACGCAGAGCCCATCATGATACAAGATTACTTCTGTACGGGACTCTGTGGGGCTCAGTGCTGGAAGAGTCACAGCAGGAGAGCCCAGAGGAATCAGGTGTATACCCGACTCCTCATTGAAGAACAGAAGAGGAGCCAAAGAGGAAGTGGGGACAGATGGGGAAATGTTGTGGGAAGGGAGACTACAGCCCTCAATGGGAGGTAACAGAGCCCAACAGATCCCTCCGCTGCCCTACGTTTACCCCACAATTTTCCCCACTGTCCTCCACATTACCCCTGCCCATCTGATAAGATCCTAGTTTATTGTCTTGAGTACATGTTAAGCATTAGGACAATCAGAAGTTGTGGCACATCCATGTCAGTAACAGCAATTCATAGTTTTCCAAGATCTATACAATCAAAGACAATTCTTCAGTATAAACTGAGATATTTGTTATTTCAGCATTATTTTAGTGCCTTATTACTATCAAATCTTGTCCTAAGCCTACCTGGGAAGCTGTAGTCTGCAGCTTTTGTAAGCCGTTTTCCAGTCTTTCCATTTTTCGCACCAACTCTGTTCTCTTCTTCCCCAGAAGATTCTGGTAAAGTTTAATGAGTTCTAGGAAACTTTTTGGAGTAGTGTAGTTGTAATGCTTCTCATTTTGTTGATACTTGATGCTCACTTCATTAACGCTTGTATGCACAAAAGCAATGAAGTGGCTGATGGAAGGCTTCACCTGAGACTGGAAAACAAATATAAATTAAATCATATTTTGCAATATTTCAGGCTGTCTTCTAGATTAGTGATAGGCAACTTCCGGATAAGATGCCTCCCACATTCATTTCCCATTTCATCCCCAAATTGTCAAGTTCCTTTCTCATCTTAAAATGATCAAAAGCACCTTGGAAGATTGGGAACTCACTACAGGGCTTTGTGTGTGTGTTTTAGGTTTCTATGGGCTTTTCTTCAAACCAGAAGCAATTGAACAGTCATTTCCTATTTGGGACATAACATAAATCCCAAATGATGCCAAATGGCCACCTGAACTCTGAAACAGTACATTTCCCCATCTAATGTTGCTATAACCCAGTTTTTCCACTTTGAACATTTAATCTGCATATTGTATGAGTTATTTAAATTATCCCAATTATGAAAATTGGCACATTAAATGTTGAACCCCTCCCTTGGCTATTATGTTTCAAGCATCATAGTGTATGATTATGAATAATCATTCACTCTCAATAAACCTACCTTATAGGATGGTGGAGAGATTAAGATGGAAGAAGTGACTGTATGACGTGGACTCATAAGCTTGTAGCACAGTACAAATAAAAAAGCAACAATATTAACATTTTGCCATGTGCCAACTCTTCCAATTGTATATTATTTCCTTCCATAAATTTGGAAGTGGTAAATACTTCAGATCCATGAAAATACTACCAGAAACTCCTGAAAGGGCCTCCCATTAGTTTCACAGGACAAGATGCAGAAGAAAGTAGAAACAAACAGCAGTAATTGCAAGGGAAAAGCCACAATTTGATATCCTTCGGAGACACAGAAAAAACATTTCATTGTATGTAGAAATCAGTTTACCATAATGGACCTTCACTGATTTGACTGTTCATCAAAATGCAAAGACGAATCAGTTCATCTATGATAGGACGTATGTACTTCCATCTAATTATTATTTGCTAATGCCAATTAAGATAATGATAAATATTTGTATTAAAAAAATCATTCCCTTTCACTTCACTAATTACATCTACACACCCCAAACCTGTCCATAAATATCTGTTTGCTGAGGAATCTCTCCATGCTTCTAATGAAGTGGGCTGCTACCTGCAAAAGTTGATGCTAAATGCCCACCCACAACTGTCAAGATTTCATAGGATGTTGCCATGGTAGCTAAAGTGGAATAATAGCACTGTAACTGTGTAGTGTGAACAAATTCCATCAATTGCCAAAGATAACAGAAGTCTCTGGTCACATATTCTACTGCTGGTGCAATGTTTTTAATGCCCCTCTCTTGCTGCTGAGCAGGAAAGGCACATTAAAAATACTCAGCATTGTTTGATATATTTACATTTGTTCTCATCACATTTGCAATGTGAAAACCATTTGGTTGTTAAAAGACAAGACAAATTTTAAAAGAGAGGGGGAAATAGAAAAAAATATTCACAAACTGAATTTTAGGGTTCTCTCTTTTCTGTCTTATCTATTTTGGTTTTGCTGGTGATCGCACTCTGCTGATGCATTACAGGAATCCATAAGAAAAACAGCTGGCTCAGTCTCTCAATCCTTGGAGTCAAGTGACTGCTGACTATAGTGATGTATTACATGAACACTTCAGTCTATCATTGTAATACATCAAAGCAAGCTGCGAGTTTGAAGGTGGAATTACTCAAAAGGTGTTGTCATTTAGCAGACCTGTCCAGGAATGAGGTATCAGCTCAGTTATGGAGTGGAAGACACAGCATGCTGCTAAGAGGAAGGAGGTTTTTAAGCTTCAAAATATTAGTGCGTTAATGAAATACAATTTGCATTTATACAGATTATAGCACAAGGGAAGGTCATGATGTGACTGTAATTACTCAGTCAAAATCAAATGCTGCTGCAGCCAGAAATAGGGTACGTTTGCTGTGCCAGGCATTTGTTCACAATTCACAAAGCGATACTGAGGTGTCTGTTGTTTTCACACTAGTAACTTTGTCTGAAATAGTCATCCTTTATTCATCCACATTTTACAGATAATCCATACTACATAAAGGTAAATCAATGTTGCAATCTAGTGTTTATGGGTAGTCTTCCTGTCTGCCCATTTGGGTTTTTTAAAGTTCTTTTTAATTTCCATGATGATGATCCCATCTTGCTCCCTACAAGGATGGAAGAAACCTTACAAATTAAAGTGAATACAATATAGCTAAAGCATACAAAAAGTTAACATTTGTTCAATTCCTTTCTGTTGCCTGTGGCTGGAGAGCTGATGATGAATAGCCCATTAATTGTCCTTTGATTCTGCTGTAAAATAACTTTAAAAGGGGAAAATCCAAGGAAATGATTAAGTACTAAAGCTTGAAAAAGTTACTATTTTGAAAACTATAAATCTTAATGGGTGATTCTGGGAACAGTAGTTCAAAAATTTTTTTTAACAATCTCTGTAATTAAGGGCTTTTGCTCCATCCAAGAACAAAATGCACTTGGAAGGCAATAAAGGGTGGCTATTCAAGAAGCACTCACATGGAAAAAGAATAAAAGGAGCAAAACTCGAAAACAACACATTTAATTAACATTTGAAAGGACAAAATCCTAGGCCCCTTCCACTTTTTCAATCATAGCACTTTTCCAAGCAATTCTTAGGGGTTGCTTAGGAGCCCCAGTGGCACAGCAGGTTAACACACTGAACTGCTGAACTTGCTGACTGAAAGGTTGGCAGTTCGAATCTGGGGAGCAGGGTGAACTCCCTCTGTTAGCCCCAGCTTCTGCCAACCTAGCAGTTTGAAAGCATGCAAATGTGAGTAGATCAATAGGTACCTCTTCAGCGGGAAGGTAATGGTGCTCCATGCAGTCATGCTGGCCACATGTCCTTGGAGGTATATATGGACAATGCCAGCTCTTCAGCTTAGAAATGGATATATGCACCACTCCCAGAGTCAGATACGACTAGACTTAATATCAAGGGAAAACCTTTTCCTTTACCTTCCTTAGGCAAGGAATACCCAGAGATGCTTTTGCAGTCCTTTCAAATGTAGCCTACATCATTGTTGGTTTCCCATTCAAGCATAATTAGAGCTGAATTTGCTTAGCTTTTCAAGTTCAGGCAAGATTTGGTTCCTTTACAGGATTTAAGTCCTACTCTGACTCTATATATGTGCATTTGAGCAGTGGTATTTGTGTATGGACATTTGTCTCCTTGAACACCATTTCTATCTGAGACTAAAACTGAATTACTCTAGAAGTTTCATACATACTCATTCCAAATTGTTCTTTTTCTATTCATATCAGTTATCTCATCCACTTTATTTTAATGCTTTAAATCAATGCATGTCACCCAAAATATTATTAGCAATTTTTGTTGTTACTTTTACAAATCTTCTATATAGAAGAATTTCTTAGTAACAATTGTTTGCCTGTGAAATGCTGTTCAGACTTCTGAATATAATCTTCAACTCAGTATCTCTGACGCTGAGTACACTTCTAGTATGTTAATTATTTCAGAGGGAGAAAAGGAAGATGAAATATCAAAAAAGTCTTTGTTGTCTACTAAAATTAACATAACTAAAAGGAGTAATAAATTTCCTTCAACAAAGACAGGCAATACAATAACTCAGAAGAGCAGAGGGTTTTTCCCCCCCATTAGTGTATGAAACTGCAAGGCAGAAACATGTAATTTGAAAAAAAGCTCAGTAATAAAAATGGAAACACAGCTGATTTTGCATCAGCAGCATGAACATTTGAGATATGAGTCTTCAAAAGCTATCTTCAGTTCAAATAAAACTTTACACATAAGGGAATCTAAGTAAGACTGTACCTTGTAGCCTTTCACAAGCACTGTCTCAACTTCCATAAAGTTCAATAGGGTTGGGTGAACTTAAAATAAATGTTCCTTCGATACTGAACTAATTGTTCTTACATCAAGCTGTATTTTTACCCACTCTTCTCTAACTGTGGTAAGTGGGCATATTACAAATCTATCAGAATCCCAAGTGATTTTATAATGCAAGTAGCACCAATATTTGATGAGAGGCTTGAGGAGCAAGTTCTGAGATTAGAGTATGAAAAATAAATGACACATGAATGCAAATATTGATGTGGTATATAATTATAGACTCAGAGTTGGATCTTACAGGACATTGAGTTCAGCCCTTGCTCAATGCAGGAAGTCAATCCATCCTCTTTTCAGGAATATCCAGAATAAGAGACTGCACAACCTCTCTATGTTATTAGTTCCCTTGCTGTACTGTTCTTACGGTCAATATGTAACTCTGTATTTTACTCTACCATGAGCTTGTGCCGAAAAGATATATTGAACTACAGCTCCTATCATTCCCTACTACCATGTCTTGGTCTTAATGGATGGGGATGGTAGGATATGTAGTCCAGCACATTTAGAAGAAGCCAGGTTGCTCAGAAGGCTACCACAGGTTTGATGGAAAAAGTTGGATGCTTAATCTCTGTACAGGAAGTGTAGACATAGAAAGACTATAAATAAATCTTACACTACATATATTTGTGTGTGTGAGAGGGGGTTATCTTTTTGGAGGGGAGAGCATCATATTTCTCATCTGCCCTTGGAAATACTTTGCCTCCCACAAGTGTGATTTTGATGTACTAACATGCACCTGCCTTTCGGTTCTTGAATCCCAGGAACCCGGTCCCCCTCCCCCTTCCTTCTCCTGACACCTCCTGCAAACTTTACAAGCATTTTGAGCACATTTCCTGCTTTGCATGGAAAATGTATTTGCACAGTTGTCAGATTGATGGACAGGGGGAGAATGATTGGAGAGTACACTGATCTTTTACTTGTTGTTACATACAATAGCCCAGTAGGACTCATGATGTGTTGGTGAGACAAACTGTGTCCTATTCTGGAACATATTAAGTTTGTCTCCAGGACACACATGACTTCACGAGGGTGTCTAACCTCATTCATAATAGATGCTAATCTTTTCAGGGCTGACTGATGACAGCACTTCCTGTCCTTCACGGAATTAGAGCTGGGTTTTATCAAAGGACTCAAACTGCCTGCTAATTAGACTAATTCCCTTCATCATGAATTATTTATTTTCACTGGTAACTGATCACTGTGACATTAATGGGTTCTGCTCAGCTTAGTTCCCCACTAATATACACTATAAGTTAAATGTTAAAAAAAATCCTAGTACCTTAACTGAAAGTTAAATGCATCCTAAACAGAACTCGCAGAGCTTCAGAAGGAATTGGCACTGTTAATATCAAGGGATGGATCTGCATAAAATAGTATCTTAAGTTCTGACATTTAAGATTGCTGTTTTTACATATTTATGTAGGAGTAGCCCCCAATAAACCCAGTATGAAAATACTATAAATTTATGTAGCCCACTTAAAGCAGAAACTGAGGCAAAATCACAGGAATATCACTAACAAAATTGAGTTTGATTGAAGTTTTGTAGTTACAATTATTATATGGATTATACAATTGTGAAGAAGGTAAAATACTTCTATGAAAAAAAGGAATTGTATGTTGTTTCAAAAATAATTATATGAAGTTTTGAAAGGAAATTTTAAAAATTGCAAAGATAAAAAAAATGTAACTGTTGGGAAGGGTCTCAGTGATAAGAAAGAAATTCCTAACTAAAATATTTTGTCTCAGACATATCAAACCAAGGCAAAACAACTTCTCTAAATGTGTACAGCAAGGGAAGAAACCAAGGGTAAAATATTAAGTGCTACAAAATGCTAAGTAGAAATTTCATTTTGCTACCAATTGTTTGCTTTGGCTTCAATAATGGATTATGCTGAGAAACAGGGGCTATTGGAGAGATGTGATCTGAGACTTGGTTGACATGGGCATTTATGGTATGACATAATTAATGTGAATGTAGATTTTAATCATTGTTTTGTGAGATTTTTCTTATTGAGAATTTGGAAAAGATACACACCTAGGTTATGTCAGAAAATACCTTTGTGGCTTAATCACAACAAACTCCTTTTAGAAGGGAAAAAAAGTAAAGATGGGTAAAATAAAGATTAGCTGGAGGAATATGAAAGAGAATATAAGATTAAAACAGATGTACAATTGCTGACAAAGAGTCATATTTCCGTTGTATTCTTATTTAGTTATTTGAAATGCTTAATTTAGATAAAAAGAATTATGGTTTTGAACAAAATAAATCAGAATTTTAAATGCAATTATGTGCAATGAACATTGATAAGTAAAATACACAAATTTCTGTTAAATTTTGATATGGAGGACTAACAAATGATAAAATGGGCTATGGATATTGACTATAGTATTCAGATAGAACAATAAGAAAAGAAGGTCAAGAGGGTTGAAATTTATACTATGATCTCAAAGAGAATTTTTACAAAATGATATATTGTTGGTACATGTCACCTGTGAAATAGTCTAAAATGTATAAAGGTACTTCAAATGGATGTGAAGGAATATTTTACCATACTTGGTAGAAGTGTAAAAAAGCAGAAAATGGGCACAAATGAAGATTCTGATTAAAAGAATATTGGAAGCTAATATTCAAATGAAATCAGAACTCTTTCTTTTGGGGATTATGTATTATACATTACAAAATTATCATGGACATTTACATCAACACATGATCACTGCAGCAAGACAGTAATATGCACAAAATATAGAAACACTGATCGAGGAAAATTGTTGTTAAAACTAATGGACTTGACTGTGATGGATAAATTCCAAGGTGTGATCAAGCAGAAAAGAATTCTTACTTTTTAAAAATATTGGGAACCTTTTATGGATTTTTTGTATAAAATGGAGAATGAATTGATAATAATTGGATATGACAATTAGTGGGATTTGAAAAGCTAAAACAAGTATATGGATTCATAGCAGCAGAGAGAAAAAGTTGTGCAAATGGAAGTATTTTCAAAATGGCTAAGCCATCATTGGACACAATCCCTTATACTTTTAATCTGATACATTATTTTATTTTAAATTTGCTTTTGTTTTTGCCACCCTGCTTACATTTCATAGGAAGCGAAGTTAAAGATATTGGGCATGTATGTGTGTATGAATAAAGCATACACACTAACAGGAACATTTCTAATTCTAAATACAGAATTAAAAAGAGACTAGTTTTTCTGCTTAAATAAACCTTTGCATTTAGTAATACAAAACCTCAAAGCAATATGTTTTCAGTTTTGATAGTAGTGAATTAATACAGAGCACACCAGGCAGCACACACAGTAATACTGAATTTATATGAAGGGGTACTTCTGATAAAAGTGGAACAAGCAGGAAAATCACATCATTATTGCCATGAGATGACTGCATGTCATATTGAGGGCTGCTTGGCTGTACACAGATTATTTGATAGCAATCACAGGCACTTGACAGAAAGATGCTGTTCTCAACATGTTTTTATCTATGTGTATTATGGAACATTTGACAGTGGAAGCATGCAAAAGGGAAAGGAACAAATGTGTTTGTATCTATCATTCTGTCTTGCCATGCATGGATGCATTCAAAAGGGTGCTAGCCATAGCTTCAGGCAGAATGAGGCAGCCAGCCCAGGCAGCAAATACATACGATGGGATGTTGGATGACAGAGTTATGCATGTCAGCTAAGCTATTCTTCTGATTGCAGGTGCACAAGGGTTGCAGTGCTCAGGCCATTAGATGTGGGGGCCCAGCAATCCATGCCTTGTGCCAGGAACCAGAGCTGTATTTATGCCTGTTGGCTTACATTAATATTTTCTTTCCTGAAAACTTTCTACAGACTGGCAGCCGGTCTGTTTCCTACAATACCTTTGCATTGTAGGAAACTAATCCATCACCAATGTCAAAGATATTTGGCACATGGGATGGATTTGAGTGTACTCACAATGTGGTTAGCCTTGTGTTGAGCATAATGGCCACCTTCTCTTTCCCCCAGCCATCCTATTTTCTTATCATACACTAGCTTTGGTGTGCAGAACCTGCTTTGCATTACAGCCAAGAACCCAAGTATTGCCAAATGGAAAAAAAATTCTACCCCCCCCCCCCCCCCCCCCCCCCCCCCGTTTCTACGCACTTTAAAAACAGTTTAAAGATGGAGTCCCATGATGCCCATCATACAACACAAAACTACTTCCGGCCATTCCCTGTGGAACCCAGTCTTACAAATGTGTTTAAAGTGTGTACAAATTGAGGTTCTATGAGTTGGGGAGCAATCGTTTTCAGAGTTCGTGATTCATAGAGAAACTGGTAAAGGCACTTATTTACACATGGGATGGGAACTGTCAAGATTCTTCCACGTTAGATCATTTTAGTGATGTTAAAGAGTGGGTGTTCCTGTGGGTGGTCTCCAAATGAGCTTCAGTGGTCCTTTTCTCACCAGTAATCCTCTTGCATGAAACCTTTATGGTAATTTTAAAAAATAATTAATTCTTCAGGAATTGCTCAATTTTAATATATCATCATTTTGCTCTGCCTTTATTTCATCCCCCTTTTTAGAACTAGATTTCGGACTTTTGCAATTGTGAAGTTTCTCTTTAAAAAAGGAAGAAGAAGAACGTTGAATGAGTGAGCACTACACTCACCCATGTGATAGCTCAGAACACAGAGGATTACAGTAGAAATGGACAAAGAACATTATGTGAGAATGAGCATATTATCCATTTTCCTTATGAATGGAATGGAACGTAATGCAGACATGAAAATCTGCTCAAAATTACAAGAAAATTTACAAAAAAGGGTTATATGTTACATATATGCAATCTCTATGTGCTAAGTACAGCATGAAGACTTTTGCTTAATTTAGCTGAAATGGTAGCTTGTTGACAAAAGAAACCTTGCTGAGACTGAAAACCTGGAAACATAGCTTTTATGAAGCTCCCCCCACCCAAATCTTGTAGAAATATGGAACAATGCCATTTCCACTAAAGCTGTGACACAATATTTAGCTCTATAATTTAAGATAATTGTTCTATTTTCGTGGTGTTAATGTTACTGAGAAATGTAGTACTCGAAATAAGTAAACTTTTCTCTAAGGGATAAGGAATTGCTTTTAATGGAAAGGAAACTGCCATTCATTTTGCTTTTATACTTCAAGCAAATTCATTAGGTAAGATGTAGATGGAGTGGAAGATTTTTGTACTTTAATATTGTCATCAGCTGACAGTGTGCTTGGCGCCTTACTTACAATGTAATAACAGTTTGAGTCTAGTTGAGATCATATTGTGTTTGAGAATGTTCTTAGGCCCTCAAGTACTGGTTTTTGCATAACTGGTCCTAATGGGTTGCTTTTTATTACTGTGCTGAGGACATAGATCTTTCAATGTCAGAAGGCTTACTTCCAGGCAGTTCCCTGTTACTTCTTGTAATTGCTGAAAACTCCAGAATTACATTGTGATTCTTTTATTGAGCAATTGAAATACACAGCTGGAAGACTGTAAATTAAATTGTTATCTCAAACATTACATGAATTTATGGCAACAATTATTATATTGGTAGCCATATGTCCTCCTTTAGGAAGACACTTCTTTATTTGAACAGCTGTCTGGTTAGCTGTTAAAATAGTCGTCTTTTTGCAGGCTGACTCTGTTGAAAGAGGTGGTAGCATAGTGATCAGAATTTTAGGACATGAAGGAGGCAAACTGGCATTGAAACAGGACCGTCACCTGTATTTTAATAACTTATGTATATCTGTTTCCAGTTATGTACCATTTAGAGATGCAAAAGTAACCACAATTTTCTGCATATGTTAGTTGTAAAAACAAACCAATGTATTATTCTGAGCAAAGACTCTATAAACAGTTTCCTTATTAAAGAAATGTGAATAGTTTGGCAAACCAGAGCATTTCAACATGGTAGGAGCCCCATAGCTAAAACAAATTATACTTACATTAAGCAAATCCATTTTGTCAATGAAGCTGGTGCTCACAGACTGAAGAGCCACCAGTGGCCAGGTATGGAACCAATCAATCGAAGTGCAGTTCACAAGGGCTGGGAACTTCCTCGCTCGTGCTCTCAAGGTGAAACCCACTGGGGAGAAGCATAACACAACCTAGACAGCAAAAACGGTCCCCATGAGTCAGTCTTCAGTAGATAATTAGGCTTCAAGTAAATGTCACAAGTCCAATGGCACCATCCACATAATAATTCGTAAGTTGGATACTTCAAGCCAAACTTCAAAATATTCATCATCATTATGTTTATTTATACCCTGCTTTCTCTCTCCCAAAGGGGACTCAAAGTGGTTTACAATTAAAGGTATGACCACATAATTTAAAATATACAAATATGCAAACATTAAAACAGAATTAAATATAACAGAATTATATTTCACAATTCAATTAAAACATATTCAAAGCTAAAAATTATAGCACCCCCTGACTTGCTCTTTAAAACCTTCTTCCCAAAATCAGTCACTTCAACATGGGGTGAAAAGGTCCCCTTTTATCTCGATTCCAGCAGAAAAAAATGCACATATTCACATCACTGTAGATTCCTGCACTTCCGAAAAATACATGATTTCTGTCAGCTGATCAGCTGATTGGGCTTTGAAACGGACACACAGCTGATTTAAAGGAAACATGAATGGAGAGAAATAAGAACTCTCTGAAACTCTTTATTTTAAACTTTATAATATTAAACAGAGCATGAATAAACAATGGGGGGGGGGAAGAGAGAGATCAAGTGGACGTTTTTTTTAAAAAATCCCTCCATTGTGTGCTGAACCTCATATGCGCACATGTGAATCTGCTTGTTTTTATATTCAGATATTTGCATGTAAGCACATATGGTCCAGCACACAATGGAGTTATTTTTGTTAGCCCTTCTGCCAGATGTCCCCCATCTGCCCTTCATCTTGTTCTGATGCAGAGGAAGCTTGTGAGGAGAGCGGTGGACCCAATCATGGGACTAACAGGTCTGTATGGAGACCTGCAGTCAGTTCCTGGGATTGTTTTTGTCCTCCATTCAAAACCCACACATTCTGTGATCTGTGATTTCAACACTTGTTCAGTATACAGGGCACAATCCACTCAAAGATAAGTTCTACTGCCTACTGGTTTCAAAAACAGCCTTACAGCAAGTAGTGGAACTCAGTAGTGTAGTAAACCTCCCCCTGACAGCTTCACTCACCTTCTGCAAGATGGATGTCCATAATATGGGCTTTCTTTACAGAAATCTTATAAAGTTCACAACTATTTGAAACCAAGTTGTGTGTTAAATATGTATTTGTTGTTGTGAGCCTCGAAGTAATTTTAAACTTATGGCAACCCTATCTATGGCAGGGTTTTCTTGACAACATTTGTTTGGAGGAGGTTTGCCTTTGCTCTACCTCTGAGGCTGAGGGAGAGGTATTTGCCCAAGATCATCCACAGGGTTTTCATGGCTAATTGGGGATTTGAAACCTGGTCTCCAGAGTCAAACACTCAAACCATTAGACCTTGCTGTCTCTCATAATTATAACCTACATTTTTCTCTACTGAAATCTGGAGAAACTACAATGGCTTAATTTCAACTAGAGCAATAATATAAAGCCCAATGTACAAGATTTTTTGCAACTCTGAAAGAGTGGAAATGAAAATAAATATTTCTTTTAGATAGCTAGCTTTTTTAAAGAGAAAAGGAACCTTTCTAGAATCACCAAGGAGGAATCCAAAACCAAAGGTCACTATAAAGAATTTGATTGAAGACCTATAAAGATTAAAGAGTTACCAAAGCTATCCATCATCTGAAGAATGGAGAAGCAGCAGATATTGATCAGACCTTAAGAGAAGGTCTTAAAGAAAGCCGCAAGGTCACAACGATTCTACAAAATTTGTGAGAAAGCTGGATAGACCTTAAATGACAAAGAAATTTAACCAATTATACACAGAACCTATACTCCAAGAATGGTTCAACATGGCCAATTTTGTCATGTGATTTTATTAATATTATTATTTGAATTTTTAGAATTTTACTTTAATGATATAAATGAATATCTCTCCATTTTCATATGTTCATATCACCCATAGATACTTACAAAGATGTGAACTCATCTAACAAGCACTAGAGGTAGGAGCAACATATAAAAAACTATGAAGCAGCAGATTAAAACAACTAGATTGTCTTCCAGAACAATCTCCTTACTATGTAACAAAAAACCAAGAAAGAACAGGAATGACCAAACTTTGCAGCAAAAAGAGTTGCACTAGAGATTCAACAGCTAAATGAGCTGGCAGCATTCAAAACGGAACTAAAGACGTACCAGTCAATTTAAATAATGTATTTTAAATTTACGTTCTATTTGTTTTTAATAATTGCATTTGTATTGTATTTTAATCCTTCCACTATGTATTTTAATATATGTATTTTGTGGTGGTGTATATTAATCTATGTATTTTATGGTGATGTGTTTTAACTGTGTTGTGCTCCATCTCAAGACATGAGGAGAGATGCGTAGCAAATAAATAAATAAAATTATTATTATTATTATTATTATTATTATTATTATTATTATTTGGCACAGTCAGAAAGAAAAGCCCATCTGACTCAATCCAATGTCACCAACAGAATATCATCAGTGAAGAGATTCTATGAAGAACAGCAGAACATTTAAACACAGTTTTGTTTACAAGAGTCACAATCAACATACAGGAAATCTTCAATTTAGCAGAAGTGCATTTATATATAAAGATTTAACTGACTGGCAAGCACTGTGTTGATTTTGCTGCCACAATATGGTATACATCTCAGACCCTGATATCTTTATTTCTGAATAACAGGAAATAGGACTGCACAACCACAAATCTGTAATTACTGCAGTCAGTCCTCCATTTGAGGATTCAATCAATCAATCAATCAATAATAAAGCAATACAGGACGTCTGTCTCTTCTATGGCCTATCTGGTGGCCTCATAAGAGGACCATAATGGAAGTTGTTCTATGGCACTCCTCTGCTGATGACAAAGAAACTACTGTGGAGTAGGAAGAGGGACAAGCGAGGAAATGAGTTGTCAGGATACACCAACCCTCATAAGATGGAAAGGGAGGCAGGGATTTGGAAACAAGTACAGTAGTTGATTTCAGGGTTTTTGAGAAGTGGTGAGGTAGAAGGGAACTGGTGATACTAAATTTCCTCTCTTGTTTTAGAGCTCCATCTCTGCGTGCAAATAGCTGTGCTGGTCCTCCAAAAACAGGCAAGTGAGGAACAATGCTGGAAATTGTGGAGAAGTTTTACAGTATTGTCCCAGTAATTGTTAAATTAGAAAAAGGACAAATAACCCTCCAATACACCTGATTTGCACTACACTGAATCCACACAAACGGAGTCCCTTTCTATACAGTTCCTTTAGAAATGGAACTTGAGCAACCACAGATTTTGATATCTGTTCTGTCCTGGAATCAATCTCCTATGGATACAGAGAGCTGACGATACTGATCTTGTGTATGGTATTCGAGAGAGTCAAGAGCATTCTGGGAACATTCCAGGATTAAAATGCTAACAATTAATTTACAAACCAGCCAATTTTACTTTGAAGGTAGTCATAGACACTAGACAGAGAAAAACGTAGTGCATTCTGGCTTCAAAGAAATATAACAGGTTGATTTAAAGGAGTGCAAACCATGGGATAGTGAAAGGTACAACCATGGCAAAGAAAATATAATTCTCTTTTCTGTTCAAGACAAAAAAATCCATATGGGATGGGGAAATTCACATAGATTCTGCAGCAGGGTTGATTCATCTGTACTCTTATCACCTAAATCATAAATGTATGTATTTGGGAACTGAGATTCTCTTACTTTTAATATAATTCAAATCCAACAGAGAAAACTATAGTAAGTACTACTTGACATGTTCATAACAGACTGTCAAACATTATTTGAAGGTCATACATTCAGAAGAAATCTCTGGGGGCTTCTACACAGAGCTTAAACCCATTTCAGAGTGGGTTAAAGAAGCCCGCTCCAAAGCGGGTTTAAGTCACCATATCTCCCCCAAAACCCAGGCTTTCCTGGGTGGGTATCCCCATGCTATCCTGAAAATTTTCAAGATAGCATTGGGCTACCCTATTCCCCCCAAAAGCTTCTAAAATAAAGAAAAACTTACTGGGTTGCCATGAGGCTGCTCTGGCAGCCCTCCTGGCATGTAAAAAAAAAAATGATGTGGCAGAAGCTGGGGGCAGGGGGGGGAGCAATTCCCTCTCACCTCCTGGTGTGTCATTTTTATGTGCTAGATAGGCTATCAGAGCAGCCTCATGGCAACCCAGTAAGCTTTTCTTTATTTTAAAGTCTTTGGAGGAGGGGAGAGTGCCCTCCTTGCATCTCTGGGCTCATGGACCCCAAAGAAGTGAATTGGCCTGTGGAGATGGACTCCTGGGACTGAGGAGGCAGTCCCAGGAGTTTCTGCCCACAGGGCCCATACCCCATTTGAACGCAGCCTTTCAGGAAGGCCTGGGTATTGAATTAATTTGGGATAAAGCAGGTTTTTCTTGCTTTGTCCTGAACTAATTAGCTTTTACCTGATTCATCATTTGGACACCTCAGGTAAAAGTCCAAAAGGGCCCGCATTTTGTACCCTTTCTGGAAGGGACCTCTATCTAGGATTTCTCTTCCTTTATTATTTCTTGTTTGTCATCTTAATTCCCTTATGGAGAGTCCGCAGGATTACTTACTACAAATTTAAAAATTCCAGGTGGATAATCATGTTGCTCTATTTCACTAAAAACAATAGCACTCTGCAGTGCCTTGTTGTTCATTCGTTCAGTCATTTCCGACTCTTCGTGACCTCATGGACCAGTCCATGCCAGAGCTCCATGTCAGCCGTCACCACCCCCAGCTCCTTCAAGGTCAAGCCTGTCACTTCAAGGATGCCATCCATCCATCTTGCCCTTGGTCGGCCCCTCTTCCTTTTTCCTTCCTTTTTCCTTCCTTTTTCTTTCCTTTTTCCTTCCATTTTCCCCAGCATAATTGTCTTCTCCAAACTTTCCTGTCTTCTCGTGATGTGGCCAAAGTACTTAATCTTTGCTTCTAATATCCTTCCCTCCAATGAGCAGTCGGGCTTTATTTCCTGAAGTATGAACTGGTTGGATCTTCTTGCAGTCCAAGGCACTCTCAGAACTTTCCTTCAACACCACAGTTCAAAAGCATCTATCTTCCTTCGCTCAGCCTTCACTGTAGTGCCTAAAGGCTAACAAATGTATGACTGAATTGACTTTCAAAATGAATGCTTTGAAATAGCAAATCCTGGTTATTTGTTTATATAAACATCCATTAATCTTGTGTTATGCACATTTTAGTTCAAAAATTTGGCACAGCACTTTCGGCTTTCCATTTTTAACCCAGTCTCCTCCACACCACCTCAAGAGAATAAAAGAAAATTTTTATAACATGTTTTGCCCTCAGGCATAGCCAGAAATGGACGAAAAGTAATTTTTGGTTTTAAAACTAGTCTGCCATCTTTCCTAAAGGGAATAAGGGGAAATCTGAGGAAAGGGACTTTCAGATTTGGGCCTGAGGCTTGATGGTTCCCCTTGGTGTTCTACATCCACAAATAACCTGTCAATTGAGGATTATCTTCCATGAATCTGAGAAGCACTGGTCTATACATACTTGATTTATTTATTTATTTATTTACTTTGCTTGTATACCGCAGTTTCTCAGCCCGTAGGCGACTCAACGCGGTTCACAACATAGCAAAAACAGTCATAACAAATAGCAGTAAACGATTAAAAAACCATGAAAGCACAATATACAGTAATGGCACATCAATAACAACACAACAACATCTCGTAACTAGAATCGTGATCCAATTCGTCGTCTATAGTTCCGTTCCTATATTCATCATATTCATTGCACTGATTATCTGAATGCCTGTTCAAGCAGCCAGGTTTTTAGCTTTTTTCGAAACACCATTAACGCCGGAGCTGATCTTATGTCCATGGGAAAGGCGTTCCACAGCCGAGGGGCCACCACAGAGAAGGCCCTGTCCCTTGTCCCCGCCAGCCGTGCTTGTGATGCAGGCGGGATCGAGAGCAGGGCCTCCCCAGAAGATCTTAGAGTCCTGGTGGGTTCATAGGCAGAGATACGTTCGGATAGGTAGCTTGGGCCAGAACCGTTTAGGGCTTTAAAGGCCAACGCCAGCACTTTGAATTGAGCCCGGTAGCAGATCGGCAGCCAGTGGAGCTGGTGCAGCAGAGGAGTTGTGTGCTCCCTGCGCTCCGCTCCTGTTAGTATCATGGCTGCCGAGCGTTGGACTAGTTGGAGCTTCCGAGCTGTCTTCAAAGGCAACCCCACGTAGAGAGCGTTTCAGTAGTCTAAACGGGAT